GGCATGTTTTTTTGTGAGAAAGGGCACTTTTCTTGGACTTCTTGAAATGAGGTTATTATCTCTAAGCCGTCTTCTTACCGTTTCCAAACTTACATTTAAGTCACATGATTTTTTCAGAGATGCAGCAGACGCGAAAGGCTCTATTCTTGCCTGTCTTCTTAAGCGATCCACTGATCTTTTGTCCAATAATTTGGGTCGACCACGCGTTTCATTTGCTGGCTCATATTTAACAGCATTTGTAATCATTGTAGAAGAGCAGCCAATAATATTTTGCGTTTCGACATAAGTCTTTCCAGCAGAAATCAATTTTTTTAATCAGATCTCGCCTCTCGGCAGTACAGTGTTTCCCACGGCCCATGTAGCTAGAACTAATTTTAGAGAATAAATTCAAAAATGCTAGGGACTATTAAATAACATCTAAATGTATTTTTAAACAACACAAACCTTGTTAAAAATGGAGTAAATTAAATTATTCTTGATAATTTCTCTGGCACTACTATTATTTTGACTGAGTCAAGCACGCGGGTCATTGCAAATAAAGACGAAAATAAATACAAAGAGGTATGAGAACCAAAATTAACTGCACATTCTTAGAGAGCAGATAATTACACTTACTTAATAGAAAAAATTAAGTAGATTGGCGAAGAAATAGAGAAAATAATGATAAAAAACTCTCTGAGCGAACGACACTACTATTATTTTGACCGAAACTGTACTTTTCTTTTTTATACCTTTTTTATACATAATAATTAAATGTTAATTTTTCAGCGGCGAGTATCAGCCTTGTAATTGTACAAGGTGAGTTCCAAAGTAAACAGGACTTTTTTAATCAAGCGCCCTCTAGTGGCGCCACCTATATGTCAACTGGTGCGTTAAAATTTGCTATCGTTTATCGACTTCCAGTAAAAATTTCATGACATTTCATCTATTGGAAGTGAGGTTATTGCGATTTAAGTGTCAGTATGTTTTTGTCATCGGTGCGAAAATGAGCTTCGAACAAAGAGCCAACATTAAATTTTGTTTTAAAATTGGTAAAACTTTTACCGAAACGTTTCAGTTGATGAAACAAGTTTATGGCGATGATTGCCTATCCCGTAGCAGAGTGCACGAGTGGTTTCAACGTTTTCAAAGTGGTCGTGAGGACGTAAATGACGATGAACATGTGAGCCAACCAAAAAATCAGACGAAATCATCATTGAAATTCATGGAAATAGAATTGAACATCTCCAAAACATCGATTTATCGCATTTTGACCGAACATTTGGGCTTACAAAAGGTGTGTGCACGGTTTGTTCCGCACAAATTGACTAATGTCCAAAAATTGCTCAGAATTCAACATTCGAAGGACATCATTAAAGAGGCAAAAAAAGACCCAAACTTCCTTTACAAGATTGTGACTGGTGACGAAACGTGGTGTTTTCAATATGATCCCGAAACGAAACGCAAGAGTGCTGAATGGAAGGCGCTTGACGAGCCGAAACCCAAAAAATCGCGCCTGGAGAAGTCAAAAGTGAAGTCAATGCTGATTTGTTTTTATGATTCCAAGGGTATGGTCCACAAAGAATTTGTTCCACCCGGCCAAAACGTTAATGCGGTATTCTACCTTGGAGTTTTGAAGCTTTTGGTACGCCGAATTCGACGTGTTCGGCCCGAATAGCGAGGATAGAAGTTGGCGTTTGTTGCACGATAATGCGCCGTCTCATCGATCGACGCTTGTGTCCGACTATTTGACCAAAAATCACATTTTAACCATCAACCACTCCCCGTATTCACCTGATATGGCACCGTGCGACTTCTACCTTTTCGGAAAAATGCATTTGCCGATGAAAGGAAAGCGTTTTGCAGACGTAGAGGCCATTCAAAAGGCTTGCACCGTCATACTGGCGGCCATACCGGGCAACGAGCTAAAACACTCGTTCGACATGCTTTTGGACCGTGCAAAACGCTTGATTAAAGCAGAAGGAGACTATTTTGAATAAAATAAATTGATTTTTCCGAAAAAACTACTTGTTCTGTCTTTTTTTAAAAGTCCTGTTTACTTTGTAGTCGTGAATAGTCAGCATTTTGCTGATGTGTGCATCTTCACAACTATGCTAATTCAATTGAAGTGATGCCAATAAACGAAACGCATTTCAACAGTCGCTCACATCTCAGACTTTTTGGATATGATTTAATGACAGCCAATTCTCCCTCTGACCGTCTTCGAGAAGGTGTTGCTATTTTGGTCCGCTCTCACTTGAAATACTCCCCTTACAGTACGGAATTGGTAGACATCGTGATTACTTATTTTTACGGCCCCCATTTTTACATGGTCTGCTCAAGGTTTTGGAAAATTTTTTATCGAATTTTCAAACCGTTTTATCAGAGCTGGTGACTGGAATGCTCACAATCAATTTTGGGGGGTAGCCGCTCTTCACCGAGAGGTGTTCAGCTTTTAGACCAAGTCTGCAAGTCCTTGCTACAGTAGGACCAACGCACTTTCCATCTGATGCAAGGAGATTTCGTCCAACTTTCTCACTGTACATGCCTCAAATGAACTTAGTTCTGATCACATTCCGCTTGAAATACTTTTCTGCGCTGCTCTTCACCCCAACTTACAACACCAAGGCTGCTGTCTCGTCGGGCTAACATTGGACGTTTTTAGGATCATCTTACAATCCCTATTAAGAATGATGAATCTGCTGATTTGAGTTGTCCACTGGATATTGATGCTTCTGTTAACGACCCAACTCTAAAGATTCCGTCTGCCGCTGCCGCATCCCCTGCTAACGGTAATCACTCTGCAGTTCGACAGCTAGACATGGTGCTGCAAAATCTCAGTATGCCACTTTTTCGTTGAACAGGCTAAACCCTTATCGCCTCACCCTGGACGGTTAACTTTCTTGGGCTTACTCTGGACAGGCGGGTTACATTGAAGCAGCACATTGTGACTACCTGTGCTTTCCCAAGGCGAGGAAAATGAGGTGGTTCGATCACGGCGAAAACTTGGCTCTTCAAAGCTATTTATACCCGTTACTCGTAGAGTAAAAGGGTATACTAGATTCGTCGGAAAGTATGTAACAGGCAGAAGGAAGCGTTTCCGACCCCATAAAGTATATATATTCTTGATCAGGATCACTAGCCGAGTCGATCTAGCCATGTCCGTCTGTCCGTCTGTCTGTCCGGATGAACGCTGAGATCTCGGAAACTATGAGAGCTAGGCTATTGAGAATTGGCGTACAGATTCCTGAGCTTCTTACGCAGCGCAAGTTTGTTTCAGTAGACTGCCACGCCCACTCTAACGCCCAAAAACCGCCCAAAACTGTAACTCCTACAGTTTTGATGCTAGATAGAAAATTTTAACTGAAATGTATTGTTCTCATCAATACCTATCGATTGACCTAAAAAAAAAGTTGCCAAGCCCACTTAAACGCCCACAAACCGCGAAAACCTGTGACGCCCGCAATTTGCATGCTAGATAAAAAATTTTAACTGAAATGTATTGGTGTCGTCAATACCTATCGATTGATCCAAAAATAAATTTGCCACGCCCACTCTAACGCCCATAACGCTTAAATCTGTCTACCGCCGGTAGGTGGCGCATTTTAATCTCGCTTTGCTGCTTGCATTTCTCCATTTCCCTTTGAGTAACGGGTATCTGATAGTCGAGGTACTCGACTATAGCGTTCTTCCTTGTTTATTATCTAGTCTACATTGGGGTATACACTTTTGGGGCACTGCCTGTAACACTTCTATAAAAAGAATTAAGTCCTGGCAAGCCAAAATTTTAAGACCTATGAACAGAATAACACTAAAAAGATTGCACCCAACAGAGAAGTGCATACTTGGACGGCCCGCAAGTGGTACACTCATTCCAGTCGCATAGACTGCCCAATTTTTGTGATGGGCTTTTTCTAATACATATTATTTTTTTTATGGGTGAAAGTGAATTGAATTTCACAAACGCACACAATAAAACATAGTGTTTGTTGATCAAAAAAAGTTTTCCACAAATCTTTTCTCTGGCACTGCTGAATTTTTTTTTTCAATTTTTGCTTAGGAATCTCTAGAGTCTGCATTCCATATTCACAGGAACACAAAATTGTGCTTTGTGAAATTTTCACGAACCATTTATAGATTTCCATGATAATTGGATCCTCCTGCGTAAAAGTCTCATACGAACTTGTGTTCCATCACCTACAGGTTGGGCGGTATAGCATGAATACAAAAAACCGATGTTTTCCCACATATTGAATTATGTAGCCCACGTCATTCGTTTTATCTTAAATATTTTTGCTGAAACACACTTTCAATACATAACGGCAATACTAAACAAGAAAGGAAGTTAGCTTCGGCAAGCCGAAGCTTGTATACCCTTTCAGTTATAATTATTTAATTTAAAAATACAAAAAATTATATTTCCAATAGTATAAGATAATATTTCAGAAAACACCGAAGATATAATTTGTTTCATATTATTTTCCACCAATTTTCCGGTCGTTCCTATGGCAGCTATATGATATAGTCGACCGATTTTTATAAAATTAAATTCGAAATTCAGAACTAAATAAAAAATGTTGTTTCCAAGCGTAGAAGATTATATGTTAAAAAACACCGAAGCTTTAATTTGTTTCGTTTTATTTTCCCACCAATTTTTCGATCGTTCCTGTGGCAGCTATATGCTATAGTCGTCAGATTTTGTTTGAATTTAATTTGAAATTCAACACTAATTAAACAATTTTATTTCCAAGCGTAGTAGGTTATAAGTTAAAAAAACACCGAAGCTATAATTTGTGTCATTTTATTTTCCCACCAATTTTCCGATCGTTCCTATGGCAGCTATATGCTATAGTCGTCCGATTTTGTTTAAATTTAGGTAGAAATTCAAAACTAATTAAAAAATGTTATTTCCAAGCTTAGGAGGTCCGATCCGGCTGTTTTTGACTTATATACTACCTGCAAAAGATATAAGACTATTGGGAAAGTTTAAGCCCGATAGCTTTAAAACTGAGAGACTAGGTTTGCGTACGCAGAGAAAAAAACGGAACAATACCCGTTTGATATTGTCTCCTCAATTTTCACATATCAATTTTTTCATATCAAAATGATTCGAATTCATATCAATATGATACGAAATCATATCAACTTCAAATGTTAATATGAATCCGTATCATAATGATATGAATACTTAGCAAGTTGATAAGATTTCATATCAAACGTAACATCGAAAAGTCTTCGAAAAAATAGTATGACTGTAAATTCGTCCTTTTTGTGTATATTCTGTGTACAACGGTATAATTACGCTTTGTATGCGGTGGTCCCACTTTTATTTACTGCGTCAATTTTAGTGAAAAACGTGACAAGAGAAAAGTTTAAGGTGTTTATAAATGTAATTACTTGGTAAGTATGTATAATTTTAACTAAATTACTTTGTTTGTGCATTAGTTTGTCGAAGTACCATGGAGGATCCACTTTTGCTTCAATTCCTTACGGACCACGAGGTCGATTTGGTTGTGCTTGACCTGCTTTTAGGTTTTTATAAATCAACATATGTGCACATATATATATATATATATATATATATATATATATACATGTGTAAGCCATTATTAGTTGAGACTTATTTTTGCAATATATTCCTAGAGTGTGGATACAACAACGAAAGGCTGCAGTACATTTGTGCTTCAGACCTTGACCAAATATTTTCCAAAAGAGAACATCTTGGTCTGAAATCCGAGTTCCGCGAGAAGCTCCAAAAATTGGTAGAGAGCACAAGTAAGTTTAATTTTTAATATTTTCATAATAGGTTGTAATAATTTCAAATTTTAGCACATTGATGTCTGCGCAGGGGATACGACACCAACATGTAAAGAAAAGGTGACATTATTAGTTCTAACTAATGGTTTCTAGCTTAAATAATTTTAACTTTAATCAGTGTTTATATAATTTATTTTTTGTGGTTCTATACGTTAATCTAGAGTGCTTTGTTGATTCTTCAGTCCTGCGAAATTGGAAGGCAAATAATTTTTGACTATCAAGAAAAGGGAAAATTATCGGCAGATAACCGAGAAGAAATCCTCTCAATCATAAAAGAAAGTTATTACAATGTTAGCTCTCAGTGTTATAGAATACCGAGATATGGAGAGATAAAAAAACTTTCAGAAGAAATTGTATCAATATTTCCAACAGAAAACAAAGATATTTATTTTTTAAGTAGAAAAGAGAATGGGAAATCAAACCCCAGTGGAATTCTATTTAATAAAGTTCATAATTTAAATAGAAAAAGAAAACTGGCTACGGGATATATTAGTTCCAGCATTGAAGCAGTTGAGCCAGAAGTATATTCACAAGAAGTCCTTGAAATTGTTAGTACTCTTAAGTTGTACAACGGAACTGAAGAAGATTGTATAACTTTATGGGAAGCTACGACGAGTTATCGCCAAAACTTCATCAAGCAGGGGTCAAACGATATTGAAGCAATATTTAACGAGTTTCCAATATATAAGCAGTCTCTCGGACATATCTTTGTAAGCAAATTAGATGGTTTGGACGTATGTGATGGTTTGTGATGTCCTAGTAAATGTTTGTAATGTCCCTTGGAAATGTTTGTGATGTTCGTAGAAATTTTGTCATTTTCTATTAATTGTATATATAAGACTCTAACATTTAACTTGAATGTTGCAGATCAACATAGATTTAAAATCGATTCACCAAGACAAAGCTTTTAAACTTACATGTTTATGGGAACAATCCATTGTAAAGTTTAAGGCCTACTACGAGATAGTAGTGAAAGACAAATACTTTATACAGCTTCTTCGGAGTTGCACCGAATCGTTGAATGACAGTAAGTAAACTAAAAGTTAAAATATTGCATAAAAAGCTAGTATTTCGTATCTTATCTTACAGATTCGAAACACTGCATATTGTTTATGTTGTTGCACTACGCCATTAAACCAACAGGAAGAAGCGTATTGATGGAAAACAATAAGAAATTCTTACGGCGGCATACCATCCAGGACTCCATAAGCAGTAGTGTTCTCCATATTAAAACAATCAACGACTTGCAAGCCCGTTTAGAAAACATGTCTCTAAACGCCATCAAAGAAAATACCACAATTCAACCCTTTATTGTAGTAGTTGGAATAGATTTGACTAGCCTAACTGATTTCTACATTGTCATTGGAAAGCAAACATTGAAATTTAAATCTTTTTTAAAGGCATTAGATTGTTGCTTCAAGACCTTTCACGTCTTTAATCTTAAGTACTCTAATGAATCTATTCTTGTTTGGTCATTTTTGCAAATTTATTTTTATAATATTACAACAAGCTACGATGTAAAGAATGCCAGTATTATCAAGTTTATTGAATATTTAAATCAGTAACATATACTCTTTAGTTAATTACATATTTTTTAACACTGTCCTTTGAATACAGACATATAATCGTTAAGCTTCTCCTATATTGGAATATATTTTGTATCTTTTTTTTCATTTATAAGTTTGTCTTATTTAAATCATGGAATGTTTTAAGTGCTGTAAACCCTTTGATGGGCTCACTGAATTATACCACCATTTTAAATATTTTCATGGACTTTGTGAGGCTGACATATACAAATGTAAACTTTCTGAATGTAACCAAGAATTCACAAACTTTCCTAATTTTAAGAGACATGTTACGCGACATAAACCCATACAGTTCTCTGAAACGAAACCGGTTCAAAAAATAAGTGTTTCAGCCCACAAAAAAAATGCAAATCAGTCATTCTATGAAGAAGACAATATTTTCGAGGAAACTTCAAAGTCGTTACATAACTTACAACAACCGTCAAGGGAACAAGAAGTTAGCTTTTCAGATCTTGAGGGAAGGATAAAATCATTATGTCAAAATATATTGTTAGAGTTCCACTCAAAGAGTTCATTTTGCAGAAAAGATATATTGTTTATTCAGGAAAAAATTTCTAAAATAACTTCAGACATTATAGATGCAGTAAAACTTGCAAAAATTCCCAAAAGTATAAACGAAGATGCTCAGCAATTTCTTGATTTCTGTTCAAACCCATTTATTTACATAGCATCGGAGCATAGACTTCTAAAAAAACTGAAAAACATAGATACTTTTGCCAATCCAGTTTCCTTTAATGTAAACAATGAGATTTTACCAGTTATAAAAAAAAATAGTCCCACACTAGACGATGCAAAAGTTAATGGTTGCATGATGGACATTACCTTTCAAATTCGCAAGTTCTTTGAATTGCCAAATGTTTTGGATGATACCATACAAGAAATGTCAAAACGAACATTAAGTCCTAAAACCGATCATGTCGTCAACTCGATTTCTTATAAAAATAAATTATCTTCCAACTTTCAAAATAAAATCGTTATTCAAATTTTTTTGTACCTGGATGGTTTTGAAATCAATAACCCCTTAGGCAGCCATGCTATTGTAGATAACATATGCGGTGTTTATTACACGTTCCCCACAATACCGCAGCAATTGCTTTCTAAGTCAGATTTTATATTCGTTGCTGCATATTTCAAAACTACTCTAGGTAAAAAATTTGGGATAGATTTATTTCTTCAACCGCTTGTAAACTGTTTAAAGAGTCTTGAAAGTGAAAGCATTGTCATTAACACTGATTTAGGTCCCAAACGGGTTTTTTTTGTTTTATGTAACATATTGGCAGACAACTTAGGTTTAAATGAAGTTCTTGGGTTTAATACCTCCTTTAATTCCAATTCTTATTGTCGATTTTGTACAAAAACAAAACAAGACCTCATGAAAGATGCAACCCCTGACCAAGAGTGTTTTAGAAATGTACAAAATTATGAACAAGCCCTTTTGCAGGATGATCCTAAGTTAACAGGTGTCAAAAGAAGTTGCGTTTTTAACCAGTTAACGTACTTCCATGCAACTGAAAACTACATTGTTGACATAATGCATGACTTTTTCGACGGCATTTGTAAATATGACATTTCTGAGATTTTACTTAATTTTATTACCGTTAACAAATTCTTCACACTTGAAAATTTTAATTTTAGAAAAGAAATGTTTAACTATGGCGAAACCGAGATCGGAAATAGAACACAGCCTTTCCAAGTTAGTCATCTTAAATCTAAATCCATTCGTGCTTCGGCTCGAGAAATGGTGAACTTAACTCATTTTCTTACATTAATAATTGGAGACTTGGTTCCTCCAAACAATCAAATTTGGAAATTCTTCTTAACACTTTTGAAAATTATTGACATTTTAATGCAAAGTGAATTTGATGAACATATTTTAAAAAATTTATCGGATTTAATAGAGTTACACAACAAAGATTATATGTCATTATTTAAAACTAATCTTAAGCCTAAATATCATTTCTTAACACACTACGTCGATGTAATTAAAATGAGTGGACCACCAAAACACTTTTGGAGTCTCCGATTTGAAGGAAAACATAAGGAGGCGAAAGTGTATTCGCATAATATAACTAGCAGGCAAAATATTTCGTATACTTTAAGCAAAAAAGCTGCATTAAAATATAGTCAGTTCTTACAAAAATATGATAATGGCTTACCAAACATATTTACAATTATAAAAAGCGAACATTGCTTCATGGAAAAGTCTGAATTTAACTGTGCCAAAACTAATATTAAATTTAAGGATAAATTCATAAAGGAGTTGAATTTTAAAGGTACCACGTACAAAGAAGAATACTTTTTAACTAAAAATGTTTCATCAGTTATAGAGCTCTACGAAATCGTTCGAATTTTAATAAGCGATACTAATGAAATTTATTTCACAACAAAAGAATTTTTTGTGAGCAGCTTTAATGAGCATTACCAATCCTATGAAATTGTCTCACTTATAAATAATACTAAGATAATAGATATTAACGAATTTGAAGGCCCACCAATTCATGTATATTACACACCAACTGGTCTTAAAATGATAAGAAGAAAAATATTTTAGTTTATTTAATTATGATAAGTAATTTTAAGTTACAATTATATTTTATAACATAAGACTTTGAATGAAAATAAATTTTAAATAAAACTACAAATTTGTTTCTCTCAATAAAATGAAGCTGGGTATGAGTTAAGTGTCGAATTGATTTGACAAAATATCAGTTTGATATGAAAGAATACCAGTTTAATATAGAAAAACATAACGTGTTAAAATGCTTAAAAGTTCAAATTTATATGATAAAATATTAGTTTCTTATGAAAAAGTATAAATTTGATATGGAAAAACATAACATGTTAAAATAAAAAAAATGTCAAATTGATACAAAAAAAATATCAGTTTGATATGAAAGCATATCAGTTTGATGTGAAAGCATATCAGTTTGATATGAAAGCATATCAGTTGGATATTAAAAAATACCACAATTTGGTCACAACTTTGATATGTGCTCATATCAATCTGGTATGAAAAATACCAAATTGACATGTTCGAAAATATCAAAGTCATATGTTCGAAAATATGAATATATGGCAACATAAGGGATCAAAATTGATACGAAAAAATACCCGATTGATGACCAGTTTTGGTATTTTTTTTCTCTGTGTAGAAACGGACGGACAGACGGATATGGCTAGATCGACTCGTCTAGTCATGCTGTTTAAGAATATATATTCTTTATGTGGTCGGAAACGTTCACTGCGTTGCAAACTTCTGACTGAAATCATTATACCCTCTGCGAGGGTATAAAAATAGTGGCTGCCTTGAACCATTTTCCATGTCTTTAGAATTTGACGTTAAAGTGAAAACTCCCCAAATTTTCACAATTTTTATGACAGAAAACGGCCTTTAAAAAATAAATCTTATATGGATTTTTATTTTTCTTTGAATCGATCGTCCACTGTACGCTTTAATTTAGGTTTTAACCGATTTCATGAGGATATTATAAAGGATTTGTTATAGCAATAAAATCTTATTTTTCGTTTTATTATCTACTACTAAATTTTGTCAAATTAAAAAATTTAATTAATTTAATTAAAAAATTTAATTTAAATATGTCATCGCAACCCATACAGTTCTTATATATAAAATAAATTTATATTTAGTTAAATCTTCTTCGAAATAAATTATTTTAAATACAGCATATTGGACCAATCTTATTAACTAAGAAGCGATCTGGAGTAATCAATGTGAAACTACAAAAATATTTTAAATTCATTACATTTAGTTCAAAGTTAGAGGTTTTGATTTTTCTTTTATTTCTGAGCCCTAACCTAGAGAATTCCCTTACAAGTCCACAGCAGTCATCAGCTAGCATTGATGGACTCCTTGGTACCGTTTTTTCATTGTTTCGTTATCATGATAAAAACGTTCACCGTGCTCGTCGCTGACAGCTCTTATATCTTCAGGAAAGAAATTTTAATGAGAATCGAGAAAATGATTTTTAAGCGACATGTTTACTCCGAGGGACTTTCTCAACATACTTGCGTAGTTTGGAAATTTATTGTTTCCAAGAAAATTGTCAATAACGTTTACAGCTGCGTTCCAGACTGCTGCCCTGAAATGCGTATCAACTTTCAATTTGAATATGTCTGGTCCTATAAAATCTCCCTCCTTAAATTTAGGCGTACTTATGCTTTGAAATTTTGACAACAAGTACTTAAAGCCGCGTCCATCCTTATCCATAGCCTTGACAAAATGTTTGATAATTCCTAATTTAATATAAAGAGCTGGCATTATTATGGATTCTGAAGGAACTAAGGGTTCGAATTTTAAACTTGCAGTATACACTCCTGGAGTATATGTAGTTCTTTCCGGCCAAATGGTGTCAAAATAATGTTTCGATCGCGGTCGACTATCCCATTCACACAAAAAACAACAACATTTTGTATATCCACTCTGCAAGCCGGTTTGCAACGCCACGACTTTTAAATCTGCGTATATTGAAC